ACCACAATGTATTATGTTACTGTTGTATTGTAAAGCGCTCAGAACCTGTTTACTTTAATCAGGGTTGAGCACTACATAAATGTCATTTATTTTTGTTATTATATTTTGTGGTTATTTATAGGAAAATTCTGTTACACAAGTTAAGGTTGCAGTTATGCAGGGGTTACAAGTTACTCTGGGTTGCTGTCGAGTAAACACCAGTATTTTTGCTGCAATGGTGCTACCACTAGTGACAAGTTGATTTCACGAACTTTTAAGTCTCCTCCTTTCTCTCTTTTGTCATTTAGACCATGGAGATCTCCTATGACATTCAATATGCAGACTGGAGCCGTAACATGCGAAACATACATCTCCTGAACGCTGTCCCCATGACCAACTGGCTTGTCATCTACCCATCGCGGTGTGGTCAGGTTGCTGGTGAGCTCTCCGACTGCCTCATCCGCGTTGGGAAAGGCATGGGCATGCAGATCATGCAACCTTGTGGGTAAGTGGCATCATTATCCTCCTCTTTCATCCTGGTGTCCGGTAAAGACCACCAAGAAAGACTCTCCACCTGTCTCTGTACTGGGCGAGCTTCTCCTCCTCCAGCTAGCTGTGTTCCATATGCCGGGATCTGCTCCCAGGTGGATTTACCCAAAAGAGTACTGTGCATTGTTGTCTCAGTGTGTGTTCCAGGGGCTGCAATGTTTCACCTTTTTTAAAATGTGTAAATCATATGAAATTTTGGTTGACTTGAGTTACTCATGTTTTGGCATGTAGATTACAACTTACGGCTGACAGGTCACTTGATGGGGTCTGTAAATGCCATGATTTTGCTCAGTTGTAGTCTAGTTTGATCTTTCCTGTTGCTCCATGTGATAGAGTGTGTAAATGCTATGAAGTCATTCAGTTGTTATTAAGGTTGTTTTTTGGGGGGTTTTTTCTCCCGTGTTTTTAATTTGTGAATGGTCTTTCATATTGGCCGCATTTTTCTCTTCTCTAGTGTGGAAATCACTTCGGACAGAAACGAATCGTACCTGCAGGCAATTCGCCAGAATCTCAACCCTCAGGTTCAAATGATTGTGACTGTTGTACCAAACAACAAGAAGGATCGCTACGATGCCATCAAGAAGAGCTGCTGCATCGATAATCCAGGTGGGAATTGGTGTGCATTAATTTTGTGGTGTTGAACAGTGTCACAAGTGATGCTTGACAGTAAAACATTGTGTACATTACCATAGGTACATTATGGTTTAGTGTTCAGTTGTGTGACATGAGTGATGTTTGTTAATGTTAGTACATTGTGGATGTTTAGCAAACACTCCTTTGCAGTTCGGTGGAATCGCTGAAAAAGAACTCAGTATATAAATGCACGGTACCATGAACTGCGCCAAAGGGATGAAAAATGAACCAACATTCATGTTGGCTTAGCAAAGGGAGCATCATTCAAGTCAAATTTGGACCCAGTTGATAACTTTGTCTGACCCCTTTGGTACAGCTTGAAATCTGTGCATAGCGAATTCCGTACATATGGGGAAAATTTTCCATGTCCCGCTGATTTCACTCTTTGTGCAAGACTTTTGGTTACCGTTCAGCAAAGAAGTAGTGTGCTTGGCATATGTCCCAACATGTACTATACGGGTCAAGTCACATGTCTGGTATCATTGAAGTAATGTCTGAGACATTTTTGTTTTGCAATTTTCCAGTATGGTAAGAAATCAACATTTTATATCTTACATTTCTGTTGAAATGATAGTTGGAAAAAATGGCTTTTTTTTTTTCTCCTTTTAACCCCAGTTCCGTCCCAGGTAGTTTTGCAGAAAACACTGTCAAAGCAGCAGGGCTTGATGAGTGTTGCGACCAAAATAGCCATTCAGCTCAACTGCAAAATGGGCGGTGAGGTGTGGGGAGCCGTTATTCCCGTGAGTATCTTGTTGTCTTTGAGCTGCATCGCGGGTTGGCTTTGGTGTTTTTCTTTTTGTTGTGATAAGGTTGTTGTTGTTTTTTTCACCAAGTCCAGACCCCCCCCCCCGGAGATCGGATTTGTTTATTTCATAGAGCGGCGGGTCTGCTACTCATACCTGCCAACCCTACAGAAAAAATCGGTAGGTCGCCGACTTTTGGGTCAAACTACCGATCCACCGATTTTGAGATGAAGCCACCGACTTCGGGATTCAGCAGGGTGACTGCCAGGCCCCGGGAATTTGAGAAAGTTATCAAATATTTGAAAACCAAATCCGATAACGCCCGAAAGTTCATTTTTGCCAGTCGCGATTGTGATTCATTCGGCTCCCTCGAGAGTATGTTTCTTCATGCAGACAGGCGGCTATGGTGGCAAGCGGGTGTGATACCGACGTTTGATCGGGATAATCAAGATATACTTTCACTTTCGTTACCACCCAGAAATTTGCTGGTAGTAGTTTGATAACGCAACATTAATTGTAACAACATGCAGGCTGTGCATGGCAAACGCTGTGTCGCCTTGAAAATAAATCAATATTTGTCCTGTGCTGTCACTTGTGAAAAAAAAAGAAAAGAAAAGAAAGTTATAGTTATACAAGCGTCTTGTCGGGTTCGCCATTGTGACCGGTCAATGAACTTGCGCGTTCCATCACATTGTGAGCACCGGCACTTGTAGGGGTCACCAAAGTTCATTCAAAGTCTGAGAGCTGCGTAGTATAGGACTCCGGAATGGGGGGAGGATTTTTTTTTTTTTAAATACACTCGGGGGAGGGGGTTGAAGGCAACACCAGGCCAGGGGACAAAAACTGAACTTTGAAGCAAATTTTAGTATTCTAAATTTTTGTTTACCTCTAGATCTAGAAAACTCTCTGCAAAACGCGTGTTGGTGCAGGCCTTGTGTGGACTCGGGATCCGTCATACTCTTTCCTTGTAAACTCTGCAAAGACAAAAGGCCAAGGCTAGGCCTAAGTCATCCAAGGCCCACCTTTTCTTCATCTTTTCTTCTTTGCTTCTGGTTTTTTTTTTGGGGGGGGGGGGGTTGTGGTTTTTTGGTTCATTTGTGTGTGTGTTCGTGCAGGTATGAATAGGACAGGAACTGCACCAACTACTAATAGGGTAAATGCCTCTGGTAGTTTTCATGTTTGTCATTTTTTTTTCTTTGTCATTTTCTACATTTGTTTGAAGTCGCAAACACAATCATGCATATTTGATGTGGGTCAAAATAAAATATTAATAAGGGTCCCAAATTAAGTATGTGACAAGAGGTAATATAGCCTACTACAGATTTTTTAGGTCAGCTACAGATTTTTGGACAAAAATTTGCGTCCAACTACAGATTTTAGCCCAGGCAATGTTGGCAGGTATGGCTACTGTCTGTGGTGCGATGACAAGTTGAATAGTGGCAATGGAGAAATGGAAGCCATTTTCAATCCTCGGAAAGCTCTCAATTTCTTTTTTTCTGGGGCTTCACCCCCAGACCCCCCATTTGGACTTGAACTGCTTGGCGTGAAAGTGGAGGGTCTGGAAGCTAATTTTTATGATTAAAGCGCTGTGCGGAATAGTGTCTATGTTGGATGCCTATGCGTCATGATAGCTTGTTACTGGTTCACTGATTTAAAGATTTTAAAAAATCGATACTTAGTCCATGATGCAGTGATTGCCAGATTTTCAGCATTACTACATCCCGTGCTATCACAGTCCCTCCAGCTTCGGCTCTCAGTACATGCTCTCTTTTAATGTCACTTTTTGCTCTGCCATGAGCACCCCAAGGTTTTCTTCAAATAACTATTTTCTGGCATGCTTTTTAAAATACGCGAATGCTGAAACCCAAATATGGTTTAGGCCTAGATCAGGATTAATTTTTTATTTTTAGAGCAAAACTAGTTAAAATTGCCTGTCATACCTAAGTCACACAGGACTTACAAGTACTCTATGCTATTGTCTGAAAATATGTTGTAATATAGTTTCTATTGGTATGGGCTAGGGGTTTTGAAGTCAGTTTGGCAGTCACCCTGCACTCAATTCTACGTTCAACACTGATTGATAGGTGCCTTGAATGACAGTCCATTATAAAAAAAAACTCGCCTCTTTTTAAAAACACTGTTCACTTAAACATAAAGGGTGTTCGCGTGCACACACACACAAAAACACTCTCTCTCACACACTCATACAAACCCCCCCCCACACACACACACACGCGCGTGCATGCACACACAAATTTTCAGAGTATAGTAGTTACCCAATATCACGAAAAGCAAGCCCAGCTCGATAGTAACTAAGGGTTTGGGGGCAATAGTTGTTTTTTTTTCCTTCTGTCTTTACACTACCTAATTTTGGGCCAAAATACCTGAAACTGACCTTGAATTTACTTGAGATGGGAATTTTGAGGTAGGCAGCCCTGATCGCCCCATTATATTCCTCGTCTAAGATGAAATTATTTTCTTGCTCTTTTGTGATTATTCGACTGTGTTTGAGATATTTGGGGGAAAAAGTAAAAATAATTTTTAGAATGGAGTCCTCAGGATCAGTCATTCTGTGTAAAAATGCAATAAATGGCAATGGTAAAAATGTTAACATGTGGACCCTTTTCTCAGGCATTTGTATACTAAACAGGTGCCTGCTAGCAGAAGAAATTATGTCCAGGAGGGTAACAATTTATGTTCTGGATGAATGGATAATGTGCTTTTATCCTATGTCGGTGTTCCAGTGGCTAGGTCCTCGGACTCGCAACTGTAAGATTGTGGGTTTGAATGCCATCTGGGGCTAGGAGTTGTGTTCTTAGGAAAGGCACTTAACACAATTTTCCTCATTTCACACAGGTGGAAATTGGGTACCTGGCTATAGACGGTGAAAGATCTTGTCAGTTTTTCATTAAGTGCATGAAATCTGCAGCTTGCACTGTATGCTTCCTTGTGAAGCAGAGCATGTTTCTGAGTGTTCTGGGGTCTGTGGTGTGCTGGGGGTAATAAAAGTTGTAAAGTGCATAGATCGTGTTGTAGAGCATTGACATGCGCTACACAAATGCAATTATTATTATTATTATTATTACTGTATGACAGGTGAAGGGTATGATGATCATTGGGCTGGATACGTACCACGACTCTGCCAACAAGAACCAGTCTGTTGGTGCTATGGTGGCCTCGCTGAACAAAGAATGCACCAGATACTACTGCAAGACTGAGTACCATGACAAGAAGGCAGAAATCATGCAGAGTTTAGGCGTTTTGGTCACAGGTATTTTACTCTTTGACTGTTGTAATTTTATTACTTATTTTTTACTCATTAAATTTTTTTTTTTTTAATGCCAAAGATCAAACTCATATGCTTTTGAGAGTGGGAGCTTGGTACCAGTACTTGTTGTCTTTTCCTTCTGCAGTTTTGTCTATTAGTTTTGCTTTTTACCCTCACTATTTGACATTTCTTATCTGTACTTTCTTTACTCAAGACAAATAAAATACATAAAAATTACTGATATTAGTAACCACCTTGTTACTTTTTTTGGATTTTCCCTCAATTCGCAAATGGAAGCCTGCGTGTACCTCTGTGGTCAAGTTTGCAATTGAAAAGATTTAGCCCAGCATTATAGTAAAGAGGACAGTACTGTTCCTTCTTACTGAGTATAAACTACTTTCTGTGCAGGGGCACTGCGGAAGTTCCATGAAACGAACCAGGCAAACCCGACCAGAGTAATTGTGTACCGGGACGGCGTGGGAGACGGCCAGCTGGACGCTGTGTTCCAGTCGGAGAAGGAGCAGATTGAACAGGCTTTCCGCATGGCTGGTGGAGAGTCCTTCAAGTATGTTTCTTCTTAAGCTTACTCTTTGTTATGAACTATATTCACCGTTGTTCAGTGCTTCCAGTTTTCGCAAATTTGCTGATATCCACAAATGGGAAAAAATTTCAGCGGAAATTCATGCAAGATTTTAAAAAAAATTCTAAATAAAATTTTTCCATATTTACTAACACAAGCAGAAAAAAGTTGAACATAAACTGTCAAGTTATATAGATCCAGCTGTTATAATTACTATTATGGATGTACAGTACCCAAGCAAAGGAGAAAGTGTGGCCTTGGATTTTTATGGATTAACATAAACAGAAAATTATGTATGCAAGGTCTGTTTTTCGGTCACTTATTTTCTTGTTAAATTTAAGCTTGAATGGCAAGAAATGGCACATTTAGGGTGCCCTAAATTTTTAAAATCTCAAATGTAAAGGTTCCCCTTCAACCCCCTGCCAGGGTGCTGCTCTGGACCCCAAAATCCTCAAAAAAATAATAAATAGCATTTGTATAGCGCATATCCCCGCTCAACAGCAAGCTCTATGCGCTTTACACTATATTATTACCCCAGCAGACCATAGAACACTCCGAAACATTCTCAGCTTCCCGGGAAGCATACAGTGCAAGCAGCTGATTAAGCGCTCAAACACTACAAACTGACGAGATCTTTCGCTGTCTATAGCCGGGTACCCATTCCCACCTGGATGAAGTGAGGAAAATTTGTGTAAAGTGCCTTTCCCAAGGACACAACGTCGGGTCCCTGATGGGATTCAAACCCACGACCTTATGGTTGCGAGTCCGAGAGCCTAACCACTAGGCCACCGGCGCCACCAGCTGCTGGAAGCTCTGGTTGTTAAAAATGGAGATACCACAAGAAAGCACCGAGACCGTGATATAGTTCTTCAGAGTTCGTGATTTATATTTTGAATTTTTATGGTCATGTTTAGGCCCTAAGAATTTGAGAACTGAGAAAGGAAGTAGATTGTAAGATTTTATCTGAGAAAATCACTTCCCCCCGTCTCTATGTTTATTGGTGTAAAACTGTTTTGTTTTCCAGACCGGCCCTGACCATGGTGATTGTGAAGAAGCGCATCAACACTCGCATCTTCAAGAGGGCAGAGAAGGTGATGAACCCTCAACCAGGCAGTGTGGTGGATACTTTCATTACCAAGCAAGAATGGTGAGTTTTTAAGTGCTGAGGGTTTTTCCGAACAAGATAAATTAATGGTAGTGTGGAGGCCCCCCAAATTTGGTACTCGTAAATTATGATTTTTGAACTGAACATCGGTTCTGACTGAAAATTCAAAGGAGGTACTCGATAGTGAAATAGGTCAGACAGCTTTTGTGTGTTTGTATTTGAAAACTTTGTACCACAGAATTTCATTTTGTTGGTGTAATCTGCTTCATTTCCACTTTGTTTCATATCCATGTGAAAGTGGTAGATCCTACTTCTTTTCTTTTCTCCTGTTGTTTCTGTCAAACTTTTTTTTTCTTTTCCCCCCGCTTCCCCCACCCCCACATAAATGAGTGTTATTATGCCAAAGTGATTCTCTTTATTAAAAAAAAATATCATATAATTTGTTTACAGGTATGACTTCTTCCTGGTCAGCCAATCGGTCCGACAGGGAACCGTGTCTCCCACCAGCTACAATGTTATCTTTGATGAGAGTGGGCTGAAACCCGACCACCTCCAACAGCTGACTTACAAAATGACTCACCTTTACTTCAACTGGCAGGTAAGTTTGACTGGCCTTATGGTTTAATTAGAGTTTTGCTCCCCTTCACATGCGCACAGGCACACAGACATGGACACCACGCGCACGCACACACACTTGCACTCATGCTTGTTGCCCTATCTGTTTGTTGTCACTGTCACAAGAAAATGAGGCAGGTGGTTAGAGGGTGCCCCTGTTTGATCCTATTTCATTTTTTTTCCCTTTGTTCCGTCATTAAATATTGTAATTGTGTTGATGTGCTTCTCTTTACCCAAACGAATAAGTAATATGATAAATTAAGTGTTTTTGTGTGGGTTTTTTTTTAATTCACATTTTAGGGCGACACTGGTAGGTCTTACTTCTCATTCAGACACGCGTATGCACACACACACACACACACACACACACACACACACACACATTTATTTCTGTCTTGCCTTTTCCAGCAGTAATCTGTGTCATTATGTAAATGTTCTTCTCTTAATTCAATCTGAAAACATTCCAAAAATTTTCTTCCTGGCAATTGAAGCTGTTTTATGGCACTTTGTTATATAAACCCATGTGAACTTTTGATTTAAAAATGCATACAAAAGACAATACAGTAGTCTGCGCCTAATAGACCTGCATGTTTGCCGACAATCGTATGAAATCCGACAATCGCGACCCGACCTGCGTGGCCAGCCAATGCTATCGCTAGGCCCACCTGTATCAGTCAATATGCGTAGTGCGAGGCCTGGCCGACTGCCAGCGCCCCCCTTTTTCTCCTGTCTGCTTTGTCGGCACTTTCGTTTTCGTGCCGACGTCGGCGTTTCCGACATAATTGTTGGAACCTGAGTAGAAATGCGAATACGAAAAAGGACGAAGACCTAAATTATCTACTTTCAGTTTCGTGCTCGAGCGGCCATTTTGAATTTCGTTGGTTGACTAATTCAATTGTTCTGATAGAATCTAGATCATTATAGACCTCAATGGAGGATTCATATTCCAATTCTATTGTGTCAAACCCTATCATAGGTTGTGCTGTAATGTTAATGTTGGTAAAAAGCATTTCATCTGGTGCGTGAATTATAAATTTATATAGATTCTAGACTCGGCTGAGTCCCTCTGTTCGGAATCGGGTGCGGGTTTCTTGTTCAAGGTCTATTCCTATTCACTTGTTCTACAAGATTTAGATCTAGATCTAGATTTATTTAGATTTCTAGATCTAGAATCTATATGGAGGATTCATATTTCAATTCTATTGTCTGTTGTATCAAACCGAATTATAGCAATGGAGATGTAGGCCATATTATGCTCCTTGTTTGTTTTGGAGTGTGGTTTTTAATTTTTTTAAATTTTGGACTTGTGCTGGCCTTTTTACATGAGGCCCGCTGCAAGTTCTTTTTTGGGGTAGGCCTAGGGGTAGGGTTAGGGTTAGGTCTCTTCTTTATTGTGTTTGTTGGGGTGATCGCTCGTTAAACTCGGAAGTACTTCCTTTTGACACCCACAAAATTGACAATTTAAGCTCTTATTGGGGGGGGGGGCACAAAATTTTCAGACAATCTAGTTGAGGCTCACATGCAGGTTTAGCCTAAGATCCCATTTGCGAACCAGATTCACTTATGATCGCGCTATTTTAAGAGAACACAATTTTTACTACTCTAAAGTCGCCTGTAAGATCCTGCTCTCAAGGTCTATATTTGGCTACAATCCCGCATTTCAGATTATAATTTACAGAACAAAACGCTCTTGCAAAATCTACCAAGAGTGAAAATTTGTGATTATTGAACTACATGTTGTGTTAACAGATCAACAACACGTCCGTTGCGAATCTAGATGAAGCAGTACAATCTCTGGCCGTCTGTCGTGGGATAGTCCCTCTCTTTGACCCAGAAACTAGAGTTTTGATTTTTCTTTCCATATTTTGTTTCCTCTAGGGCACCATCCGTGTTCCAGCCCCTTGCCAGTATGCTCACAAGCTGGCTTTTCTGCAGGGCCAGAGCCTTCACCGAGAGTTCTCTGCCCACCTCTCAGACAAGCTGTTCTTCCTCTAGATCGTCCATCCCGACTGGAGATTTTCCTGGCTTCCAGCCGTACCAGCTGTTTCGTATTTTTAGGTCTGACTCAAAACAGTTAGATATATCTATAAATTAGTTTTTGTTTTACAGGAAAACTGAATAAGCTGTAAGCTCATCCCAAGTAAATTTACTTCTCTGTTTGTTTGGCGCATAATATAACCTAAGGAACAAAATTTCTTAAACCCTTAGTAATAAATGAGGCTTGCTGAGAATGTAAAGAAAAATAGGAAATATAGTGTGTATGCAATTCTGTGCTCACAATAAACCTACAAGCTGTGTAGACGAGTGAGCTTTGTTTTAGTTTCTACATTAAACCTCTGCTGATCTAAATTTGCTTAATAAGATTTTGATTGTGTTTTTTTGGTGAGAGTCTGGATTTAGAATTGTTCGTCATATGAAACCACATGTAATATGACTATTGACTTTTTTGTGTGTTTATGATGATGATTGGTGAAATAGCTTTCTTTTGTGAAGCTGTTCTTTGCATTATGCTCATGTTCAGTAGACTACATTCTTTAGTTTGCTATTTTTAAAAGTTATTGAGGACTCCATTTCCTACAGTGAGTAGGGTTGAAAATCTAAACTTCATTTCTTGAGCTGACAATTTGTATCGAGTTACTGTTGTGAAAGGTTGTAGGATTGTTTTAAAATTTATCTCTGTACATTTGAATTAAATGTGCATAGGTTCTTGCTGTATGCGAAAGGTATCGAAACAAGCATTTTTCTCTTCTTTCTATTCATCACTCATGTTTTTACTGTTGTTGTGTCAGCGAAGGTCATTATGACATATTTTTTTGGGGTTTATTGTACGTCAAACTGCCAGCACACTCAATGTGAACTCGTTCACATTTTCTATGGGCTTGGTGTTTATGATATAAAGTACATAAGGGGAGATAAATTGCTTGAACAATTTTTCTTTTAACAGCAAAAGTGAAACATGTTTTCAATTGCCATGTTCATATTTTTTGCCCCAAAAGTTGGGACAACTGCAATAAGGGAGTGAATTGATGCAGACAATTTCTGTTGTCTGCTTGTGTAATATTGGTTTGGATCATTCATGCGCAGAAAGACAGGTATGTTTGATGATACTGCTAATTATTTTCTTTTTGCTGGATAGTAATGCTATTGTGTTGTAACGGTAGATTTACTAGTTGGACTTGGATGTTGCCATTTGTGCCTCAAAAAAATTTTAATATTTCCTGTATTTAGCGCCTTCATTGTTGTCCCTGAAGTTACCTGTAATCAGGTGATGGCTGGCGCTACCTTGAATTACGTTTCAGGTTTTAGTCTCAAGTCTATGAACCTCTTCTTCGTTCTACTGCTGTATTGCCTCTTGTATCTCTTGTCAATAGATTACTCTTTTTCCATAAAGAACTCTCTTCTCTTTCTTGGCTTCAGCCAAACTAAAGTCTTGCTGATTTGGATCTCTTTGTTTTATAAGGAAGGGGAAAGAATATATGTGCCACGACTTGGTGGAATCAGGCGCTCGTCAATTTTTGGGAGTATGAAATTTTTGGTGTTATCTCAAAGCTTGTTCATTTGCTTTGCTTTCAATGAAAAAAAATACTTATCTATCTTTGAATAGAAATCGAGATATTTGCAATTAAAAGAGGTGAGGATCGCCTAGTTTCATCGTAAAATTAGCAAGAAAATGACTATCAAAATTTAGTGTCTTCGAAAACTTGAATGGAAACTGCGACTTTACATTTTTGTGCCTTCAACCAACATTTTTCAGTAAAATGGCTCTAACCAGGCCACTCCTTGAGTAATGTGAATAGTGTTGATTTCAGCATAAAATATTAACCGTTGATCAGTCAAGCAGCGACGTTTATTGAAAGTGAACCGTAGGGCTATAGCATAATTAAGTCATAACAAAGATATCTGGTAATATGACGCTCTTGATTGTTCACTTCCGTTAGTCCGCGTTTAAAAAATCCTGGCTGATTAATTTGCAACTTTGCATATATCTTTCATTTCACTGCTAAGTCATGTGGGCAAGATGTTCGCCAAGATATTGGAATGGCGAACAAGACACAAAGTTGAACCATTTCTGAGTGAGGCCCAAATGGGATTTAGAAAGGGAAGAGGATGCACGGACGCAATTTTTGCCCTACGACAAACGTGCGAAAGGGTAATAAAACACAACAGGGAACTAAATATAGTATTTATCGACCTGGAGAAAGCGTTTGACAGAGTGAACAGAAACAAGCTGTGGAAAAAACTCGAAAACTATACTGTAAGAGGCCGACTTCTAGATAACATCTCTGCCATTTACGAGAATAGCATAGGTACAGTCAGAACGTCTAAGGGACTCACAGAATGGTTCGAGATAACATCCGGAGTAAGACAAGGTTGTGTCCTGTCACCATTATTATTTATCATATACACTGATAGAATTACAAAAGAGGCAAACACAAAACCAGACGCCCTAAATGAATTACTCTTTGCTGATGACCAAAGCCTGGTACACAAAGATGAACAGTCTCCAACACCACACCACCAGATTAAACGAAGAATGTAACAACTACGACATGAAGATCAACATCAACAAAAGAGGGACAATGAAAGTAAGCAGAAAGCCAGAACCGCTCAGGATACACATCAACAACAACAGTCTCAGACAGGTCCAAGAATTTCAGTACCTCAGAAGTATTTTCACAGAAGATGGGCTACTGAACAGAGAAATGGAAACACGAGTACAAAAGGCCAATAATGTTAGTTCCCACATTTCATTACAAGCTTGTAGATTTCCTCCCAAGACTGTCTAAACATTTCCACGTGAGTCTGAAAAAGTACTCACTGGTCTGTTGGACCGTGTATCATAGGTGTGTGTTAGTGATGATGACAATAGGTCATATTTTACATTTTTTAAAGGGTCTGCAGCAATTCCCCTATTATTTTTTTTATCTGAGTTAGGAATGTCGTTTCCAGTGAACTTTCATTCTTGACTTTTAGATTCAGTGGGTCATCTAAATTTTAGGCTTTCATGTAAGGACCTTTTCCAGAGAAGAGTAAACGTAGCAATTTGTTTTTGATCTTGTTTTAACTGCAGACAGATTAAAGCGAGCAAGCTATAGCTCTTACACCCGGTAGGTTTATTTGCCCTAAAGTTTTCTCGCTATTTTCATATTTCTGTCATTTTTTCCCATATGAAGAAATATTTCTCTTATAATTCTTTATACTTGTACAGATTTTCAAAACTTACAAAGGGATTAAAAAAATTGGTACTTGTAAAATTTTATTGATAATTTGGAAATATTTTCTTTTTTCAGTTGTCATGAAATGCGAGATTCCATTATGTTCCCTTATGGTCAGAAAAATTATCTATATATCCTGTATGTATTCTTTTCATGAACAATAATGATACACATACCATGTTTTATGTTTTTTTATAAGATTTGCTGCTTTGAAGAAGAATGTGTGTGCGAGTGGTTGGAGGACTCCACTGTTAAATTCTGCTGTATTTCTTTCCACTCTGTTTCTTTCTGTCTGACCGTTTCCCTGCACTAAATGACTAATTGCAAGCCAATTTTCAGTTTTCGAATGATCAGTGAAGATTAAATTTCCGTATTACCATTTTAAAGTTTGTGTAGTTTCATATTTTGTATTGAAACGGGTCGGAGTAAGTGTGGTGTAAAATTACTTATGCAAGGACATGTTTTCTAATTGTGTTATGCTTTTCATCTTAAAAAAAGAACTGGGGGGGGTATATAAATGTCTCTGCAAATACATCATCAAGTGGGAAAATGTTCAACCAACCACTGTCTCACCAGGAGAAATTGCAGGCTTGCCAACAGTCCGGGATTCTCCAGAACTGTCCCGGATTCGGCAATGGGGAATTTTGAGAGCCTTTTCACATATACCAAAAGCAGTTGCACTCTATGTGATTTTGTTGGTCGTTAAGTATTTTAAAGTTACATTGTTGGTTGTCCCTGGTTGGGTTTTAAGAAAGTTGGCACGTTTAAATTTTATGAGTCATCAGACATGCCACAGAAGACAGCAGAATTTGTAGTTGAAAGTGGAAAGGTATAAGAGAATAAGTAACTCATCTATTTTGTTTTTTAAAATATTTTTTCATGAAATTCTCGGAAGAAATTGTTAAATGTTAGCTCAGAAAACCATCTAGACACATTCCTGTTTGGCTGTGTTTTTGTGAAATTTGTGTGCTGAGGAAGAAGACACAGACTTCTGCTCTCCTGCTTGTCCCCCTTGATACAATAAGTGGTATGTGATTTTTTCTTTTCTTATCCATTGCGAATACATGTACTTTTGAACAACAGGATGACAAAGTACAATCAGTGTATTCATCGCTAGGAAGTATGCATCTAGATTTGGCAGTCCAAACTGAACTTTTTACTTGAGCTGAAGTCAGCTTCCTTAACGCCATCAAATTCAGTTTTCATTTCTTGTTTCATTGATACCGAATTTACCAGTTATGGGGGGGGTGTCAGTCCTCAATTTGCTTCCTTGTAAACTTGACTGAAAAGCCATTTTTGACACAAAAACTGCCCGACACTTGGTATTCTCTGAAACGCAACACCAGAGGACAAAAAAAAGTAATCGACTTGAAGCTAATTCATTTGACTTTATTTTTGTCCCAATTTCTAATTCATATGCTCATTTTCTTTTTAGCGCAAGGAGTCAGTGTATGGCAGGGATTGTTTTTGTACTCTTCAAAGTTGCATGAATATACCTTTTTCAATTAACGATTCAGACAAACTATACAGCTATATATATCATGAAAGAAGAAAGATGAATCCATAATTTTGTGATTGGATGTAATGGTCCATGTAGATATAGTAGAATAGTTTTGTGAAAAGAAACACATAATAGGTGATTTCACCCACCTGCCCAGCCAGTTTGGACTGCATAATCAAGGTGTGAAAATACCATAAGTAAATAACACACACATCTTTGAAATGTCTGATAATGATCATGACTATAAATTCCATATCTTGCTCCGACTAGAAGATGCTTCGTAATGTCTCTTTCTGACATGTGTTCCTACAGATTAAATCTGTTATAGAGACCCAGTTTTAGATCTGGACAATACCAAAGTTTGCTGTTTTTGTCGTTTCAAAGATTTTTGACTTTTTGTCTTTCATTATTGTGTGTGGAGGGGGAGGGGGGGGGATGTGAGAATTTGTTAAATTGAAAGCCAATGTCTAAGTTGTTAGGTAGATTTGGTCTTAGGGTGATATGTGGCTGCACTGTATTCTTGACCAAACTTAATGATGTTTTTTTTTTCTCTCTAGTCTCTCGTATGACAGAAGGCTCGATTTATTTAACAGTATTTCTACCCATGTTAATTCTAATCTGGCGTCTCACTGTTTCTTTAAAGGGATATACAACATTACAGCCAGTTAGTTGAGTTAGGTGCATGGGGCTCGGCTCACTCATTCACTTGTTTGGTCTCTAACGATTGCCAAGTGACTCATACTAGTAGCTGAATGAAGTGTAGAAAATTTGGCATTATCCCCACAAATATTTTGTTTAAGCTGTACAATTGTTAGACAGAAGTGTTTATTGCCTTGGTAATCAAGACTTCAATTAGGCTCTTGTTTGTACTTAATTATGATTGAGTTTGACATATCCATTTTTGTTGTTGTGAACTAGAATGCCATTGTTAAAAATCTTTAACCCCTTTGTTGCCAGGGTGTAAATGTTCCTACTGTCATCACTGGTTTTACTCTAATCTAGACCAATCGTGACATATTTAGGACCCATGGTCTTAGATAATGTCACTTTCCTCACTGCCCATGATTTAGAAAAGCTTGTAAATCTAGTCAGAAAGTGAAATTTATGTCTTTTTACAGTCATTTTGGTGTTTTTGTTTTGTGAGAGCACACTGTCATCTGCTAGACTAGACCTATGTTTATTGATCATTTGCAAGGTCAGCAGTAAACTAATTAGCAAATATGGTACAGATGTGTGCAATTTTTATTCTTGAATATAAATCGACTCTGTGCTTGTGGCTAAATCGTACAGAATGACAGCCAGATGATTTCAGAGACGTACATGTAATACCATAAAGGTATCCAGGAATGGCAAATTTTGTCAACTTTTGTGATGTCCATGGTATGGCACAAAGCTAAAGCATTACATAGTTTTGTGACCTTCTTCTAGGTACTTCACATGGCTGGGAAGGGGTTGATAAAAAGAAATGTCATCGGGTGTGAAACACATTTGAGTCACATACATGGTCTCCTGAACTGTAATTTCATACCCTTAAGAACCGTTCATTCTGTACATTACTATTCACCGTTTATCATCCTTAATCCAAGTGTAAATAGAGATATATTTTGTCATTTTCACACATACACAAAAAGATCTTTTTATCCTTGTCTTTTGCTCAAGGGTTATCACTGTGTTCATACTACTGAGTTGTCTTTAGTCCTCATTTTTGGTCTGACAATATCACTCCTACTTGTGGTTGAAGGGAGCCACGCGTTGGTCTTTTTTCATTTCCATCTTGTTTTTCTGTCTGTCTGTCTTTCTTCCACTCCCGGCCTAAATGACCATTATCTTGATATTAATGCTTTTCTTTACTAAAAACTTCGCTAA